CCCCCCCCCCCCCCCCATAAACAGAGAAAGAATGGGTGAAATAGAAGCTAGCTCAAAGGAAATTTCCCTCTCGAGTTTAGAGCAAATACTCCCAATGCCTTGGCATTCCTCAACGGGGGATAATTGAGACTCGAGTGGGTGGACTTCGCCCTGGCCTTCCGTCGGGAGCAGACAACACTTTAAGGGTTTTGGTACCTGAGAGGCTCCCAGCTCAGGGGAGATGCTGGTCACAGCCCTGCTGCCATCCAGGAGAGCTCAAAGGGTCTCTCTGGTGGTGGCAGTTTATAGGGTCCAAGATAACTGATTTTTGCCAAATACTACCTGGTGCCTTCCAGCAGTTGTACAAGAATTTGATGAACATGCAACCCTGTTATTGTTCCATCTGATCACATCCCAGGCCCAGGTGTGCCAGGCCATCAGGGCATGCTGGGCCATTATAACCTTTTCCAAGCAATCAGAGAGGGGCAGGAGCCAGGCTCATTGACGTTATCAGTTTTTACCTCCACAGACTGGGGTATAGCTGGGGGAGGTGGGGGGTGGGGGTGGATGGAATCACACCTAGCACCAAGCAGCCCAACAAGGAGGGGCAGGGAGTAAGAATTGCACCACCACATCCTTCTACTGTAACTTCCTGCACCTTTTGGAATAAGCTTTATGGGATGATAAATTCTAACAGAAGTTGAACATTTCAGCTATCCCATTTCAGCTATTCAACTGGCTCTGACACAAATGGTTCTTTAGACTAGAGCAGATAAATGTATTTATCCAGACTTTTCCAAAACAGACTCTGTTGCAAAGAGCATAGAATAAAATTTATTCTGTAAGAGAAAATCAGCACAAGGTCACACAAATCTCATATAAGACTGAACATCTGGCCAGGTGCCACAGGATTTGAGTATATCTGAATGGTTTTTGAAAATTATTTGTGTGACTGTCCACATTTGTATCACATAAATAATTTAAACTTTTGGTGTGAGGAACAGCAAAACCTAATTCTGTACAAACCCTCAGTAAATACTCATCCAAGCTGTTGCCTATATCATTCTTCAAAGAAAGAAACCTGAAAGAAGCAAATAATGGATATTGTTTACATTAAAATAATAGTATAATATTTAAACAAGCACACAGAAAATGGGTTATCTCACTGGGAAGCTGGACAGATGGGTTGGCATCAAAACACTTGATCTCCTGTATGTGCCTTCTATTTGTACTCTGTTTTGTTTTTGCAAACAGTTGCAATAGTCTGTGCCTTGTGCACAGAACTGCTATTTTTAATGGAAGACAAATTATAAGAAAATATTTAAACAATGCAAAAAGTGTGAACTGAAAACTCTGAGCAGTACTGATGTGTGTGCACATGCATGAATACAAATACGATACATTAAAAAAAAAAAAAAAGCCAAGCAACAGTTTGTAGAAGTTCAAGCCCTGTGGTTTATTTTGCATTTTAGCAATTTTGGAGCTGTCTTCTCAGAAACTGTGTGTCCCCTGTGTTAGCAGAGGAAAATGTGTCAAGAACGAGGACACCTTTTCTGCCAGGTTATATGGCAAAGGTGTGAACATACTGACGTATCCTGTTGACTGAAGCTGATGATCTCCCCCTCTGCCTCTTCAGGGTGATTTTTGCCCTTCTTTTTTCATAATTAACACCCATGTTCATGATTCAAAGTCATGAGAATACGTGAAGTCAATGTTTTCTGTTGTTACGTTTTTCTTTGGGGGGAGGACTTGTTTTTTCTTTAATGGCCATGTTTAATATTCACGTTACAGATATATGTCAGAAAAGGACAAAGAAAAGATCCTGGCACTTGACCCACCAGCAACTGCCATTGTGTGTGTATGCAAATACCAGATGAATGTTCATTCTTAACAAGGGCCAGTTGTTTGCTCTCTTCTTCCTTCTTCTGAAGGAACCCCACAAGTTTCAACGTGCACTTCCATGTAAAAACATCACACTTACCTTAAAACCCTTTATCCACTTAATGCAAATCAGTTGCAATTATGTTATGAAGTTGAATTCACAGGAACAAATAGTTCTCATGAACTGTTTGAATAAAGCATACAGCCTGAGATGGTGCTGTGATTTTCTGAGAAATGCAAAATCCCTGGTTGGAAAATGTAAGACAGAAAATCATGGGGTTTTTGTTTCAGAAAGGTGCTGGATTTCCATGTATTTGTGATGTGTAGTCTTGTTCTGAGACGTTGTAACTCTTACAGGACAGATTTTGCCTGGTGAACAGGTGGCTATAGACATCTGGGAGAAAGGAGTTTAATTTAAAAAATTTTTCTCAATTAAAAACCATTTTTTGATAACTTGTCTATAGCATAACATGAGTGGAAACTTACCTTCAAGCATGCAGAGGTATGTCCAAAGACATCCAAACTCAGGTTTAATTTTGGGAATCCATGCTCAGGATCTTCTACGGAGAACACTGTACCCGGGGGTTCATCAGCATGATTCATGGATGATGCCTTAGTTTTGCTGGGTTCCTGCAAATAATTCGCTCAGTGTGTCCACTCTGCATCTAGCGTAGATGTAACTCACCTTAAATGAGCTCTTCCAGTTCTAGCACAGCCACCTGGAGTTTGACAGAGGCCAAGTTACCCTTCCGCTTGGCCAGAAATTTTAACTTGTTCAAAACTCAGTGTAGCTGTAGCTGATCAGCTTCCAACACCTGAGATAATGTCGTCCATGTACCACTCAGCTCCCAGCACAGATCCTCAAACAGCTCTGTTTTGTGCAGGTGTGGGTCCGGTGTGTTTGGCATTTCAATGATGGGGCACCACAGTTTTCAAGCAAATCACATGTTCATCAGAAGCCAGAGGACCACAGGACTTCAAAGTGACCTTTTGTTTTCAATACAGTTACTTTTTTTGCAAGGTTTGATGCTGCATAGTATCAATAACAAGTTATTTCACTTCAGATCAAGATGGCTTTTGGTACTGTCTGTTTGCTCAAGTATCAGATTTATTCCTTCAGATATTCCCATCTGAGCAAGTTGTCTGTGGAGCAGCTCTGCAAGGCTCCCTTCACTGGCCCTGGAGAGATGCTGGTTCATAAGACCTGTTTCAGACACCCACTATGGATGGAGTGCAAGCCCAGGGGACGAAGTTAGCTGTCTCTCTTGCAGACCTCTACTTTTGATCCAGTGAATCCCACCCCCAGTGTGTGCTAGTGAGCCATCTGGTCTGCAAGAAAGTCCTCTGTATGGCAGAGAGGGCAGTCTATGTCTGCTCCTGGCTCAGCACAGGCAGCACCTCGCAGAGCCCCTAACTGTGGTAGTGAAGTGACATGTTCCTCTTCCTCCTGAGCAGGCTAGCAAATGCTGCTGGGCTATCAACCCTCTGTTCACATGGGGATATCTGGGGGAACAAATCTGATTCTTGAGCAAACAGCCAGTATCAAAATCTGATTTTAATTTGTTAGTCACACTGTGTATCTTGAAGGAGAGGCTTGTTTCTGCTAGTGAGCAACTGGTTGTACCAGCCACACCAGGGTGATAAAGCTTGAGTTTTGAATAGCTGTGAGCACAGAGGTGTGTACACCAAGCAGTGCTCAGATACGGATGTTTGCTAAGGGATTACTGTCCCTTTGGTGTACGACCACGGATTGGATGGGACAGTTGCATAAAAAAACCCAGAGTAAGACCAGTCTCCATCCTCCAAGAGAGCCCTGAGGCCGTTCCTGTTCAGAAGAAAGCCGGACTCCAGCAGCAACCATGTCTCAGCTGGAAACTGCGATGGGAATGACCATCGCTGTCTTTGACAAGTATGCAAGGGCTGACGGCAACAGGCAAACCCTCACCAAGGCAGAACTAAAGAACCTCCTGCAAAAAGAACTCCCAAACTTCCTGTCGGTAAGACAACAGCATATCATTTCCATGTAGCAGGTGCAAGGGCTGCCTGCAGACACAGGATTTAGTATATACAATGGTTTGTAGAAAAAATTTGGTTTAAAAAGTATTTGCACATACTGTGTAAAACTGATTCTAATATTCAGGGCCATTCCCTGTTGACTAACTTCATCACTCGAGTTATCAGGACAATGGCTTTGAAATTAAGTTTCATCTGCAGAATTCCCTGGATTTACTACCTCACATTGTGTCACAACTGCTGTGAAGGTAGTTACGTTGTTGGCAGCTGAAGATCTTGACTGCAGATGGGGAATCTCTCTAAATATTTATACACTTACTTTCTCCAGGTATTTATACTATATACTCAGTGTGCTCATCAAAATGATGCATAAACAAGAACAGCAGATGAACTCAGAGCAAACTGGTTTGCCTATGTTTTTAATAGTAAAGACCTGAAAAAGTATTTTACAACATAAGATTTGTATGTAATCATCAGGTGCAATTGAGTAGGTGTATATATATATATATATATATAAAGAATATCTTAGTGGGTATTCAAAATGCTTAATATATTATAGTAAAAGCTTTAGCTGCCTGGGAGACAAAGTGCTTTTTGCTTTCAATTGTTTTTTATTTGCTTCCCTTCACTAAAATGCAGAAAACACTTCTAAAGGGCTTGTTCTTTCCACACAGGAGTAATGTTTATCTATCTGTACAGTTATTATTCTTAATTGCAAAAGCCTAGAATCAGATGTTCCAAATGTGGCTACCACGTTTCGTATCCAGCATGATTCAATTTTTTAACAACTGTTTCAGGGCACTGAAGCCAGGGTACTTGATACAATTTCGTGTCTTTCCATGCAACCTAGATGAAATCACTGTACGAAATGCATTCCTGATGAATTTATGACTCACAAATGAAACACAGATGCAATATTCAGAATAAGACCCTGGATGGCTTGGGGGAGAGACAGTTGAAAATGTCTCTGAAAAAACTGTAAACCAGATCAGTGGTGTGACCCAACAGCATCCCAGGAAGCATCCTATTCCCGATCATGGAGCTGTATGCTACCTATAGCACTTCCACATAAAGAAAAACAAAACCACAAAACCACAATTCTAAGAGGGCATGGAAATCCCCCAGAATCTTGACATATGTTCTAAATAAAGGTGGGGAGCCACTGCACTAGACAGCTACCAAATGGAAAGATGATCAAAAATTATTCCTGGCTACATTTACTGGCCAGGCACCACCTTTTCCAGTTCCCCAGCAGCTGCTCTTAGTGGTTCTACTTATTTCCTGAAACTGCTGGAAAAAATGGAATTTTCCAGAAGGATAATTAGTGGTAGAAATAAATCCATGCCACAGAACTGAAGTATTGGACTTGGTTATAAAGAGTTTCCAAAAAATAATTCCTACGTGTGCATTTCAGAATTAATTCAGAGGCTAAAACTACTTTATATATTTCAAGAAATATTTTTTTTAATTCACTCATAAAATTAAAACTGATTGTAATTTGCAAAGTGAAGAGGAATAACACCTTCCAGACACATTCATCAGACAAATCTAGGGAACTGGTTCAATTTTTAGTGATTTTAAAGGTGCATATATTTAAAGTGAAACACGACATTACAGAATGAGAAATTTACTTAATTAGACCATGATCAAGAAGTGCCTTCAGATTTCAAGTAATAACTGAGTTAAGTAATAATAGTAATTATTTTAAATTCGTGGACATTTTCCAAAAGTTTATGTAATTTCTGTCTAGTATAATATCAGATTTATTTTTTGGTTAGCTTCAAAATCTGCATGGTTGTTTCTTATATTAGGTAGGTCTCTACTGACATCTCCTGTTGATTTTTAAAACTGCGTTTTCTAAAATCACAAGATAATCAGTGGCAGGATTCAAGCCAAAAAGCCGTCCTGTAAGCTACTTCAGAACACCCCCCCGCCCTTTTTTTTTTTTTTTTTTAATATATATTTTGGTAAAAAATTTTAAAAACAAGTCTCTTTTTACTTGGTGGTGACTTGCTTAACATCAGCCTCGAGATGTACTGGTTCAGTCAGTCCATCACAATTATGACAGCTTTGACAGAAAAAGATTTGTCTGATATTTTTCACTGCTGTAACTCAAGCTTAGCATCATGCTTACTTGAGGAGGCACCTTCCCGGGTGTCAGCTTCTGTGAGCAGCTCGTGCAGGGCACCAAGGCCAGAGGGAGCACTCAAAGCACTTTTGAGGCTGTTTGCATCTTTGCTGGGGTAGCAGTGTTTAATGAAGCTTATATTTGACATTTGCCCCAGGAAAGCATCATTTTGCAAAACTTCAAACCGCCTGAGCTCCAGCCGAGCCTCTCCAGGGGAAGACATGGCATATAATTCAGCTGGGTACTGTCTTCAGGGGTTTCCACTACACAGCATTAATCATGATAAATGTTGTTTTAAACATAGAAAACATGCCTCTCCATGCTGATGCATGATTGCAGCACTCAGGTATAATAAACCCAGAAGCATGTGCTTTCAGAGGAGGTGATGTGCTTGCTGATGCTGTGCAGAGGGTGGAAAGATGTGGGACTGCGCACATGCCATGAGGATGCTGGGACTTGCGCTTGGTCCTGCTGCCACCCAGAACCCCCAGCCTGGGCCTGAGGCCAGTGGTGCCATGAGTTCCTGCAGGAACGATGTGCTTTTCAGGCAGCTGGAGGAGGAGATGTGCGGCTCCCACCGAGATGGGTAGTCAGAGGTACAGCAGTCCCACATCCCGTGCTGGGCACTGAACAGTTGTCTCTGCCAAACATGGTGTGAAGAAACTCATGGCTTTATACCCAAAGACATAATGCACAGAACAAGTAAAGACAATGAAAAAATAAGTCTCATGAGAAGAAAATGTGATAACCAGATATTCTGGGCAGGCCTATGACAGGGCTGCATGCAGGAGCCGTTACATCTCCATCATGCCCCCACCTCCCAGGCAACTCAAGCGCGATCCCCCACAGAGAAGTACAATATGTTCAAGCTGGTGTCAGCCTCATGCTCCCTGGATGACCCCCTTCACTCCTTGACGAGGGCCCAGAGCCCCACCAAGGCCCTTGTTCGGGTGTGGGTAGTGATGCAGCGTTAGGGTTTGTGCCGCCTCTCACCAAAACCTGCTCCCTTTCTTTTGCAGTCGGGGAAGGACAAGGATGCTATTGATAGAGTCTTCAAGAACCTGGATGCAAATGGTGATTCCCAAGTGGACTTCAAAGAATTTGTCCTCTTTGTGGCATCTCTGACTTGCTGCTGTCATGAACATTTTGAGCAGAAAGCAGCCAAATAAATGTCAAACTGCCTGTGCTCCATATGCTAGTGGTATGGATCCCTTCGCTTCATCCATGTATCACCATGCAGATAACAAGCATGCTGGGCTGTAAAAGTAAATCCTACTGTGCTTACTTTCCTGTCTTGAGTTGTAGACTCCTTCTTGATTAAGAAATCAAAACAAACCCAAACACTTTTTTTGGTTTTGTTTGTTTGTTGTTTGTTTTTTTTTTTTTCCCCAGCATGGAGGATTCTGTGCTGGTGAACAATCTCATCCAGCTCATATGGACTGACTTCCTGTAACACAATAAAGCTTTTGCACCAATATAATCATATTACTCTACCATCAGCAATGTATGTACGGTTGTACACTATAACCATTCTATTTTAAATAAATTTAAATACCCCCCCAAATAGCATTCCATAATACTTTTTCCTGAAGCAAGACTAGTGGCAGCAGTTATTGCTTCTTTACCCAGAAAATGTCCATGCAGAGAAGTAGAAGAGTTTGCTTTCAGTGGAGCAGGCTATCAGCTGTGACTGCACCTGGAGCAAGACTGAACCAATCCGTATTTTGAAGCACTTCACCCGTGAGCATCCCAGTGCAAACTGCAAAAACATCAATTTTAGTTCCTTTATCTTCAGAACAGCCTTATTTGGTGATATTCCTATCTTATGCCAAGACCTAAGTCATTCCCTGTCCTACTGCATGTGCAAATGTGCCATGCAGGCAAAGATGCTGCAACTGTCCATCAGCTGCACATCATTTTTGCGAGGGCTCCGGGTCTGGCTGGAGGCCTCGGGAGATCATGCAGCACAGCAAGTGTACGAACAAGAGCTCTGTAGTTGCAGAGAACTTCTTTAACAGCAAAAACATTTTCATCTTCCTGCTGAAGCCTGGTACAATGAGATGGTTGACCATAGTTGCATACCTGGTGCTGGAAAAAGAACTTAGTTTCATTATGCTTCTTCCTGAGTCTGAAGTTAAACCACAGGTTTAGCCCATTCACAGCCATGTATAGGCATGCATATGTTTAAGTGTATTCATCTTTTGGGGAACCTGCTGGGAAAAGTTTGGGTTTATAAGATTATTTCAGCCTGTTTTAATCATTACAGATGTCCTCCTTTCATCTAGCTGTCTTTGGTTCCTCTGTTTGGCTGTACCAAATAAAACACCACTTAAAACTTTATTCCTAACACCAAAGGCACAGTGTCCCAATGCACTTTAATGTATGTGACTGCTGGCTGCTTTGGGAAAGGCTCAGCTCTCCTCTGCCCCAGCACTGTTGGGTCAGACCAAGCAGTCGTGATCCAGGGGCCAGTCTTTGCTTGGTGAATGTGGCTCTGCCCCCACCAGAGCCGTCCAACCCCTCAGAGTCTCCTATCCCTTCCACACTACACAGGGCTGGTGTACCCACCAGCACCGTATCTGGCACAGACACCCACAGAGGGATGCCCCCACCCAAAAAGCATCAGTCACAACTGTTATGAGTGGCAGCAGCCACTGGTGCAGCTGCAAACAGTGCTGCAACAGGTGCTGTTTGCCTGTGGTCATGGTTAAATCAGAGACCATACCTAATATGCAAACAAAAACTAGTGAGTGTTGCCCACATTCGTGCCTTCTCCCTGGCACCTGGCTGAAAACAGATTCCCATCTTAGCATGGACATACAACCAAAAACTAATGATTCCTCATTCTTTAATAAATTCTTCATAAACTAGTATCTGTGCATGCAAGAGATAGCTCAAGAGCCAGGCAACATGCATACATGTGTCCGCCTGCATGTGTGTGCAGTCTGTCCCTGCTGAAAGGGACAGCAGGGGGGTGTCCCCATTCTAATTCTGCTACAGGCTGAGCTCTTGCCACTGACCATTTTGAGCAGCGGTCTGCTTTCTAGTCCTCAAATCCTTGTGGCACACAGTCATGCTGAGCAACACTCAGAGGTCTGCTGAGCTCTTGGATGGCTGGAGATGAACTGCATCATATATATTACACTTGCAGAAGTAACTTTGTTTGCTTTATTGACAACGGTAATATTTCTCTGAACTACCTGAGCAAGAAAACTACTAAACATGCAAATGTGCAAAATTCTTCCCAATCCAGGGATCCCAAATTAGCCTTTTTCTCAGAGACTACCCCATATTATTTCAGTTGTTTGAGATATTTTTATAGCTCTAATCCAGTATGTCCCTGCCCAATGGGTGCTGTGCAGCTCATCCCTTGGAAGGGCTGACACATTCCGGTATCACATCTCTCACTATTTTGTCAAGGCTATAAATAAGCAAAGTGCTCTCCTTATTGCAAAGGAAGTTGATAATAAATTATAGAAATAAATTTCATATATTGCATATCTAGCTAGCTAGTGGTATAAATCATACTCGGGTGAGGAAAATTTAGGTGATATCTGCCACCAATTGATTGGTGTATCCTAATTTTTTTTAGATGTATTTTTCTTTTCCAAGTTTAGCATTAACATCTGAAAGGTTTCCTCTTTTTTGCCCTGCAATACCCATCTCACTGAAATTTTTTTTTTTTTTTTTGCCACTGTGTGGCACTAAATGCAGCCTTTTCATTATCCACTAAGACCAAAATTCCATTTATCATTACTGAGACAGAATGTAAAGAATTTGTGTTAAGATTTTAAAAATTCCAGAAGTGTTCTTAACATCACAGAAGTTTTATTTCTAAACAAATACTGTATGTGCCATCAAGAGCATTTCACTGATTGCAGTGGTAGCAGCAGGAGCTGACAGCCACAAAGAGGCTCCATCTCTTGGGCTTCTGGTAGGGTTTAACTGCACCATCCCAGTCTCACCCTTATAAAAGAGTTTCCTCTTGTTTGCAAATTCCTTGTGTAATTTGTTGTAGTATCATTCCACACCCCACTGAGATCGCTTTTAAAACACATCTCTGGAAAGCTCCTGTCTTGTCAGCCAAGAAATTCACCTTACTACTCCATTTTATCTACTGGATTTTTAAAACCATGCTACTCAGCAGTGAGAGCTGTAATGTACACCACATTTCACTCTTATGTCCTAAACTTCCTGCCCCCGATGTCCGACACCCTCACAATTTCACTCACTCTCTAATGCCATTTTGCCCCTTTTCCTGATACTGTGAAGGTTTTTTCTGTGCTTGTAGGGAACTTGAAGACTTGGTGTACTTTGCTTATCTGCAGTTCTGCTCACAGCAGCCCAAAAGCACTATGTAACCACTCCACTTCCCAAAATGGGCACCAACCAACTGTGATGAGCTCAAGCACCCTCCCTTCCATGAAGGAGGACCTGAGCTACCCCTCTCACCACCAGATCAAGTGTGCTATGAAACAAGTGGGATGTTATTTTTCTCATTGTTCCTGCAGGTCCCAACCCTACAAACTCTTACCCTTGTGTTGAAGTCTCGTTAGGTGCCCTGGTCCTACCCGTACCTGTGGGGACACCAGGAGAGCTCAAAGGCTGTGCCCAGGAGCACACACAGATGCTGTGTGCTGCTTTGCTAACCAGAGGGAGCTGTGCATGTTCAGAGATGTAGAAAGACAGGGAAGAAAACAGTTGGGTTTTTTTTTTTTCTTTTTTCCTGCAGATCTTTCAAAAGCTGTAACTCAGTGATGAATATTCATTTCAGTGTAGTACTGAAAATTCAACTGATGACACCTCAGAGAGAAAATGATCCAGGAATAAAAGAAATTAACATACAGCTCCCACCTTACCATAAAACAAAAGTCCCTTTTCAGAATATATTATTTAACCTAAAAGCATTTGAGTAGAGTCACTTTGATATCTTTCAATCCATTAATTGTCTTCCCCAGTATTATTAATTTTCACTATGAACCCACAGTTTACCCAGAATATATTGTGTATTTCCTTCCCTGGGTAAACTTTTGTCATTCAGGGTTCAAGCTGCAGAGATCCTAGACCTGCTTTTATATCTGCCATTTAATCTCAGCTTTTAGGCCTAGATGTATTATGTAGAATGAAATAGTTTAAGAAACTGTATAGGTAGCTGTAAAAGAAAGGAAAACACAACACAAAGAGCAGCTCAGCAAATGCGAGCTAACAGTTGTGGACAGCACATGTTTGACTTAGTTATGTTGATAGAATCTAAAGGATATGTGAAAAGATATTACCAGAAAATTATGATAAGGGAATCATAGAATCATAGAATGGTTTGGGTTGGAAGGGACCTTAAAGATCACCTAGTTCCAACCCCCCTGCCATGGGAGGGACACCTTCCACTAGCCCAGGTTGCTCAAAGCCCCGTCCAACCTGGCCTTGAACACTGCCAGGGAGGGGGCAGCCACAGCTTCTCTGGGCAACCTGTGCCAGGGTCTCACCACCCTCACAGTGAAGAATCATTATTTGCAATGAGTTTCAAATTAGGCAAAGACTAAAGTCAGAGGTCAGAAAGTCAGGTAAGCAGCAAACCAGTCAATAGGTATTTTTGTTATCTTATACAGTAAAATACTTCAGTATCTATAGTTGCCATTTTGAAATCTGATGGAGTACTGTCAAGGCTCTTCAGTGTTTAAAATGACATATTGAAATCTTATTTTGGAGTGTATATACAGGAGAAAATAGACATAACATTACCTGACTCTGAAGTCACATGTGGTTACTTACACTGTGGTTTTACTTGGGAAAGTTCTTCATTATCTTACCTTCAAGTTCACTGGGGCTTATGGAAAAAAATAATGCACTCAGTCAAGCAAAGTGTTTATCTCCCTACTAAACCCCATTTGGGGCTGGAAACTGGATACTTCTCTCCCTAAGCCCTGCAAGCATTCCACACTAGTAACGTGCATCTTCAACATTTGATTTAAAGTGCCAAGATCAAGCTCTTTACAACCTACATTTTAGCTGCTGGTTTCCTTATAAAGGATGGGTAGAGCAGGAGGAGGAGATGTTACCTATCTTTTATGCAACAGTGTCACTGTGAAACGCTCTTGTAGGAGCTGGGAAATTTTGTTCGAACCTTTCCTCAGCTGAAACCCACACACGCCAGCTGAGTGCACTAAATAGCAGAAGCCAGGGTGGCAGGAGGCCCAGGGTACCTGTCACCAGCTC